CGGTCTAGGATCGTTTAATTCAATTTTATGGACAAAAAAAAAAAATGCCCCAAAACTTCAAATCACTCAAAGCCAATTACTCTTAATACCCAGTGCACTTGGCAGAAACTTTCAAACCAGCCCTCTAATAATGTTCCCTCATCTGCTTTTATCTCAACCTTCTTAGCTATCGAGTCAAAAGCACGTGAGAATGGATGACTAACTTTGGTATTTTCCCTTTTGTCTCCTACTGTCCTTTGGTAGCACGCCACCTTTCAATGGCTCTCAAGTGCTTTGTTTCTTGTGCAGCCCACTCGGTGGTGACGTCACACGTGCACATCCTGGGAAGAACTTTTGAGTTTCCTTCTACCACCGACCCCAGGATATGTTGAGCGGATACTCACCTTGTGGACACACTTGTGTTTGCCCATGCTCTTACGTAAATACTGGGACAATGGATAAGGTCATTCTGGTTGGAATAGGGGGGGGGGGGAGATGAGGTAAAGGGGGCTGGTCAGAGATGGAGGAGGGTAAATGGGGATGAATGAGAGATGGAGGGAGGGGGGTGGAGGGTGTATGGGGCAATGTTGGAAAGTGAGGGGGACGAGGAGGAAGGAAGGGGTGACGGAAAGGTGGGAGGAGAGGGAGGTGGAGGAGGAGGTGGAAGGGGAGATGGGTAGGACGATGCTGGAGAGGAGGGAGCTATAGGGAGGGTGAAGGGATAAGGAAGGGAGGGAGAGGTGGAGGCACGGGGAGGGGCGAAAAGGGAGGGGTAGGTGGAAAGAGAAGGATTGTGGGGGTTTAGGGAGAGGGAGGGAGAGATGGAGAGAAGGGGAGGGGGAGGGGGAAGGAAGAGGGGTAGGTGAAAGGAGGGAATGGGGGAGGTGGTGGAAGGGGGTGGATGGGGTGATGCTGAAGAGGGGAGGGATTTGAATCGGAAAATTAATTGATAGAGGCAGGGAGTGGGTGGAGGAAAGAAGGGGGGGGGGAAGTCTCGGGCACACGTCTTTTGTTGAATATAATGAGAGTAAGCGATTCTTTTCCAGCGACTGATTTAGAAAAAAGAATTATTCAAGAAACATTCCTAGTAGATAAATTCTACTAACACAATCACTTGTTTAAAAAGAAACGTGTAAATGAATATTTCAAGAAGTACGTTTCATGTTGACAACACAGCCTCAAAAATTATAAAACAGTCTTTGTGTTCCCTATCTGTACTAGATCCGGTCTCTATCGCATCCCTGCCTCACCCCCCCCCCCCTCTCTCGTCTTCACCGACATTCACGACTCACGTCACCCACACAAAGTTTTGGGATTTCACGTCACCCACACAAAGTTTTGGGATTTTCGTCGAAAATCCCAACTGATTCTTGAGTCGGGCTAATGGTGGTGGTTGGGGTGGGGTGGGGGGTGGTAGAGGAAGTGGAAGGAGGTGAGCTCCCCATTTTCGGAGGTATAAATATATGCCACCCAGAAGCCAGTCTGACATTCAGCACTTAGCGAGATACATTGCCCCGCCAAGCTCTCTCGTAGTTTGTCATAGGTGTTTTCGTGTTTTCCCGTTCGGCTCGGGATCATGATGGGGCCCTGGCGGCTGCTTGCTCTCGTTGTGCTCAGTGTGTACTTCCTCACAACAGTTTGCCATGCGTGTAAAAAAAAAAGGAAAGAGTTAATAGACAGGTCGTGCGGCAGGACAAAAGTGATCACCGGCTTTCCACGCGGAATCTCCGAACACTCTCTGAAGCACCCAGTGTGCTCGACTGTGTTTTCCTCTGTCTTTGAAACGGAGACCACCGTGACCGACTGGTTGATCGTTTTGGATCAGAAAAACAGGTGGGCGAATTGTCCCCCGGGTCATTTCCTGCAAGGGTTTCTAATTACAAATCACGAGAAAGGCGTGTACGCAATAGAAGCGGGCAGGTGTACAAAATCGAGTAAGCGTAGTAACGAATACGGCGACTGTTACATCGAGCGCACATCTAGATGCAGCCACTGCTGGCGAGAAGGCTACTATCTGGCGGGCATCTACCGAGGCGACTGCTCCGGCTGGGGCTGTATATCTCAACTGAGATGCTGTAGCATGTCCTCTGAGGTCAGCGTGGATTCTGTGGAAGCTGCGAAGGACAAGGTCATGGCGAGGTCTCTCAATGGGCTGGCTCAGTTAGCCTGGAATTTAGGCTACTATGGGACCTTGGGATGCATTGGAAGACAGCCCGGAGACAATTTCGAGAAAGATGGGTACTCTTTCAAGGCAAAGAAGTGTCCGAAATTAAACAATTTCCAGTTGAAAATCTCGTATGGCGACTGGAAGCTCAGCTTGTCGGACGTGAAGTATTCACAAATGAAGACAACAGAACTCGTGCCGAAAACACTCGACTTTGGCTCTCTGACCAACCGCCATCCCACTCCACTTGTGGAAACGATGAGGAGACATTACAAAAGTATTCGTACAGTGAGACATTCACACACCAGCCACTGGAGCGTGTCTGTCACCACAGGGATCAAGGTCTCCTACAGACCT